ACTGGAGTAGAAGTTTATCTCCATCTTACTTCTGTGTTTTTTTGCCTTTTCAAATTCTTGGCTCCCTCGTTCAGAAGCTGGAAGAGGGAAATTCTCCTGCTGCAGCAGAGCACTTAGGTACTGGAGCAGAGAGTTGTTTGGTTTTTAATAAAGCAGAAGTTGCATTTCTGATCTTCTCCCGCGCCCATTCTCCAGGCTGGCATGTGCAGAGTCCAGGAGCTCCTGCCTGCTGTCACTCACACCTGGGCTGAGAGCCTGCCCTCACCAGGAGGGCTTTGCCTGAGCCTTCCCAACAATCGGGGGAGAAATCCTTCCAGCAGCTCCTCTCACCTCGTAAAAGCCTGAGTGCAAATTGCCGGTCCATGTGGGAGACCCTGCAGGTCCTGGGGACACTGAATCATTTCTGTTCCCCACCAAAGCTGCCCTGGGCCCTCAGCAAATTTTCCATTTTGGCAGCAGCATCGCTACCTTCTCAGGTGCTCCCGTCCCTCTCGTGTGTCACTGGGAATTTGCAGGTGGTGACATGAGACAGGAGGATCCGTCCCAGTTTCTTGTTCCTATCCATCATTTTTGGTGGGCACTCAGCCCCCCTGATCATCCAGCACGTGGATTTTAGGGCCATCCTCAGCACAAGAGGGGTGACACAGGGGTCTGCAGGTGGTGGTTACACCAATCCAGCCATTGTAGGTACTCTGGGCAACTGCTGCCAAAATTGGGCAACTGAAACCTGGAGAGGGACTTTAGACAAGAGCATGTACAGATAAGAATGTTGATATCAGTTTCAAAATGTGAAGAGGGTAAATCTTGATTAGATATCAGGAAGAAATTCTTCCCTGTGAGGCCCTGGCACAGGTTCCCAGAGAAGCTGTGGCTGCCCCTGGATCCCTGGAATGTCCAAGGACAGGTTGGACAGGGCTTGAAGCACCCTGGGACAGTGGAAGGTCCATGGCAGGAACATGGTGATCTTTTTAAGGTGCCTTCCCTCCCAAACCATTCCAGGATACACGACTTCATGATCTGAGGAATTGTCATAGTACAGGAACAGACAGCGAGGAAAGAAAGGCATGACAGAGTCATGGCCATGTCAGATGTTTGTGCTCCTCAAGGATAGACAGCACCTGCCTCCCTGGAGGAAAATCCAAGGGAATTGTAGATGCCTTTGTAGCCTTGTCTGCCTTATTAGGCTAAAGGACTCCTAGTTTGACCTTTGCCTGAGGGTATCCAGTTGCCCTTGCCCAGCAGGAGCTGAGGTATGCTGAATTAAGATGATGTATTCTGTGGACAGGTGCAAAATGGAGTCATTTCTTCAGCCAGGAGGGGAATAAAGAAGGTGGTTAGAAAGTTCATCCTAATGCTACGAAAACCACAGCACTGTATATCAGGGACTTAACATATTTATTATTATATACATCTTGAAAGTTCAGCGTCAGCTCTTGGCTGTGGGTGGTAGGAGATGCTGGGTCGCCTTGAGGGTGAGGACTTCTGTTCTTTGGAATATTTGGACTTTTCTGAAGAGTCTGTGGCTCTTGGGAAGGACCTTGCTGCTGGAGAGGGGCTCAGATGCCCTAAGAGGACCATTTCTGGCTGCTAAATTCACTGGCTGGCTTGGTCCTGCTCTGTGAGACATGTCACCATGTCACTGACCCTACAGTTGCAGCAGAGGAGTTTGCTCACTGCAGTCCCCACAAGGAGACCTGACAGAGGCTCATCATCATCTCTCCATGGCATTTATGAGGGAAATCTGCCACCCTGGATATTTTACCCCGCCAGTGCCACCCTCCCTGACAAACCACGGGCATCCACGAGCCAAACAGCAAAGCTTTTGAGTTGTCAGCATGGCTGTGGTGGCTCACAGGGAAATCTGGGCAGACTGTGGTGTGTTTACACATTGTCCCTGAGTGACAATTCCTCTCAGTGTGCCCCCCCAAAGCCATTAATGCTCTGAGGAGTCAGCAGATGAACTGGAGTGGTTAAACTCATTAACACCAGGTTAACTCCCATTGTGAAGCTCCTGGCTCGACTTCAGAGGGCAATAAAACACCAAGAGAAACATGATGACTGTTATGATCAGGAAATTTGGGACATGTGTCATTAGAGGGAACAAACAGGGCAGCAGAGGTGTCTGGCACAGCGCTGCTGAGTGTTCATTGCCATTCACTCCCCCTCCATGTTCCTCTAATGCCCTTTATCAGCTTCCTCCTCCGTTGGGTGCAAACAAAGTCTGGCCCTTACCTGAGGGTCAGAGAGATGAGAGACAGTGTTAGACAGGATATTCCCAGCATTTTCAATGCTTCCTTTTTGGTGGGTTATGATTGTCTGACTGACACGGCCAAGCGAAAGTGCTGCGGGTTCCCGCGGGACCCATGCGGCCTTAAAGCTCACAAACATAATAATAACAAAGCCATAAATTCTGACCTGTGGTACAGTCCCAGCCGAATAACAGCTCCCCAGCTGTGGAATATGTGCCCTTGTTGTGTGAAAGTGGCAGACCCGGGGGTAAAGTTCACCTCGTATTTGTCAGGTTGTGTAGAGCCAGGCCCGTTTAATGACCGAAACGCAGCCAAAAGCCCCAGCAGCAGGACAGATGCCCAACTGTGTTTTGAGCCTGTTATGATCCACTGAATATTTTGTGAGCAGAGAAAGCTTAAAAAAATACATGATGAGGGACAGATAACAGAGGCAGAGTGAAAAGTGGTGGTGATCACATTGCAAGGGATGGGTTTAGCCCCTACACAACAGCCGTGATTTTTGTATCAGCAGAGCTTTACCCAGTGCCTCAGTGCCATCAGGCCATGAGGACTGGATGCAGCCCAGGAGCAGGGATGAAATAACCCACGGCTGTTTCTTCTTTCTGCAGTGATTTCTTCCCAGCCAAAATTCTGCAGCTCCAAACCCCTGAAACACATTAGGAAAGCTCCAAAGCTTCCAGAAAGGTGGGGAAATGTACTGGGTGAATATTAGGGAAGACTGACAGAGCCATGAGCTAATTCAGATCCTTTCCAACAGAGGAGAAAGAGTTGGACAGGTGGAAAACCCCCAAGTACCCCATGCCCACCTTCGGGATATGCTCGGATGGGCTGGCAGCAGGGAGATGCTCATAGGAAGAGCTGGGGAGAAAACTTGGTTAGGTCTGCCATCATCAGGAGGGGATTTTCCAGGGGAAAGGGACTTGAGAGACGACTTCTTCATCTCCCCCATCACCCCTGCCAGACTGGGATCGTGTCCACCTCAAGCCTCAGTGACAAGCGGGAGCGGGCTGCGCGCCATCCGGAGAAGGAAGGACGAGATGATTTGTTTTTGTGTGTGTTTTTCTTTCCATGTCTGCTCCTTGGAAGGAAACATGTCTGCTTTTAGAGAACAATGCTGCCCAGGGCCGTGGGAGTGAGGGACGGGGCTGTGCGAATCCCAGCCCGCAGCCCGTTCCCAGGCTGGCCTTGGCCAGGCTCAGCCCTGCACCGGCCCCTTCCAGAGGGTTCAATCCTAAATGAGGAGGGCTGGGGGCAGTTGGGAAGTGCAGCCTTTATGGGGATGCAGCACTTGCTGTCCCTGAGCTGTTGGCAGCAGGGGTGCTCTGGGCCTTCTTGAACACCCCCCAAATCCCCAGCCTGCACCCCATAAACCTGCACTGTTACCTTGACTTCTTCCTCTGCTTCTTGCCCCAAATGGTTTCCTTGGACTTTTCTTAGATCTGTGTCTTCTCCTCCACCCATTTCCCAATGGATTAATGAGGACAATAAAATGGGGACAGGGCAGCCACCAATCCAGTAGGACAATTCACCAATTCCATCTCTCTGGAACCAAGCGCAGTTATGTCAGATCTCCTCATCTTGAGACAGCAAAACTCCCTTCAAATTTGTGAAATTCCTACCACACATCCCCCACCTCTATTAATCACCCCGAGTTTTGGAAGCACAGAGGGCTCCATGGGCTGTTGCAGTGGGGTTAAGCTCTAGCAGCCTCCAGCATGGCCATGTTTTGTCCTGATGCTCTCCACACACCAAATTTTGAGGTGAAATTTGGGCTGCAAGCTGCTAACTCCACTTGGAATGGGTCTTTGGGGTATCTCAGGGGTGCAAAGCAGCATTTTAGGGATTCCCAGCCAGCTCTCTCCAGCCTGACTAAAAGCACTTGGCATCAATTAGGGAATGGCCAGAAAGGCTGTCATTTCCATCTGTGCCTGAGCAGCACAGGAGGTGTTACAGAGGAGTAAAATACTGTGGATTTGGAGTTCTTGGGGTGAAAGGGATTGACAAAAGGTGCAAAGATACCTTTGGGAGGGTTTAGAACTCCCAAATCTCCAGACAAGTACTGAGCGGAGAAAACGCATTCAAGCAGCAGGGATCAGCCAGGCATTTTCCTTATTTTACAGCATTTTTTGTCACCTCGTATATCCCCTGTCATTGCAGCCCTTTGAGCCTGGCCGTGCCCAGGGACCGGGAAGGTTTTGGAGGGAGGTTTTCCTCTCTCCCAGCAAAACAAAACAATTTTGGGGTCCTTCTGGTGATCCTTACGGTCTGCAGATCACCTTTAAGAGAAACCCTTGCCCTGGCACTTGAGGGAAGGCTTGAACAAGGCTCCTTAACACAGCCCCGTGTCCTGCAGGCACTTCTCCCACCCAGCCCCGGCTGTCCCGGTGCTGAATGGGACCTTAGTTCCAAGGATAAACACATCCATCACAAAGCTGTTTGGCCCACATCCCCTCCATGAAACCCCTTTTGAGGACTCTCTGTCCAGAGCCTGCATCTCTGCTCCACTTTTCACTCCCCAACCTGCTTTTTCCAACGCCCCCCAAGCAAAATCCTGCATTTTCCAAGTGTGGAAGAGGCGCAGGAAAACAAGGGCCACTTTAACCCCTATTTTAAAGCTGGAGTTCCCTCCTGGTTTGGTATATTTAGTTTGGGCACAGTTGTGAAACAAAAGGTACAAAGGAGCCAAGTTGTTGGGGCAGGGGGAGGGAAGAAAGTTGGTTTGATTTCGAGAGCCTTGGAAGATCATTAAAATTTCATAACAGGCAGGGAAAAAAAAAAAAAAAAAAGGTTGTTTGCTTCTAAGGTCTCTGGTGTTTAAAGAGCTCAAGACAAAACTGCCGAGCAGAATATTCCAGTTTATCCCGTGGAATAGGAAGGAATGGCCCCAGACGTAATTACAAGTAAGTAGAGCAGCGAGAGAGGGGAAAAAGCTCAGGAAATCTGATGTCTAAGAAGTATTTTTTGCCGGGGTTTATTCAGTTTGCCCGGTTGTTTGTTTGTGGTGATTTTTCTGACCTGCCTCAGTAAAGTATTGGATATTTTGACAGTAAAACGGGCGGGACTGGGGGGATTTTGGCTTCTGGAATTTGGGGGCAGCAAAAAGCGAAGCAGGGATCCGGGGTGATACGTGAAGCGTGGTTTGTGAGTTTACAAAGCTGGGTTCAGGGGATGGGGTTTCACCAGTGGTCTCGCTGCTCTACTGATTTTGGAGTTTTTATCCGCTGAACAAGCAACAGGAGGGAGATTTTTACAAAAGCAGGGAAATGATATCTCATTAATATTCCTACCTAGCAGAAAAAGAAGGGAATAATAACATTTAGTGGTTCTAAAGCAGCGGGGAGATGATGATGAATGTTAGGCTGTACGTGAAAACTATACAAGGCTGTATAGATTTCAAAAAAAAAAGTCCGTGCTATTTCTGTTCTTGGGCTTCACTCTTTAAAAATACATTACCACTGAAATGGAGTTTTAGAAGGGAATAACAACACTGGCAAAATATTTATTTGAAGTGCAGAACTCCTGATCTGAAAAACAAAATGGGTCATAAATCACAGAACACATTAAGAGCTACAAGATATATGGAAATGTAACATTATAAAATATTCTTCTCAGGATGAAATAGTATTTAAAACCAGAATTTTATAGTGATCCAAATGCTAGTAAAGGGATTATGTTCCCGTCAAGGCTGTAGATATCAGTTCCATTCTAAAATCACAGTACAGTACTTCAAAAAATCATTAATAGTGATTAGATATTTGTATATATGACATCAGACTTAATCATGAAAAGGAGAAATGTTTAGCTCTATATTTATATTTTATTATTAACTTACTTTTAGCTGTCTGCAATTTGTAAAACATTGCTGTTTTAATGGCATAGTTCTTGCAGCAAAATATATGTATCTTACTTTTCTATTTTGTTTTACCAAAAAAAACCAAACCCTAGAAAAAATAATCTTCTTATAATTTCCTGTATCTAAAATTATTGTTAAATAACCTTCAAGCTGAACATTAAGAAAATACATTTAATTATTTGCTGAAATATATATTTTCTGCTTTTTTAATGAGTAGAGCTTATTATCCTTCCTCTTTTTATACCTAATCCATAAACATTGTGCCCATAAGAGCAGCTTTGTAATCAGAGGAGGTGGTTTTAAAGGAATATTGTTGAATTCAAAGTAAAATCATATTATCTCTTGTGAGATTTGTGCTCTTAAAATCATTACTTACAGTAAAATGTTCCTCTGATTCGAAATGTTCATCCCACAAGGAGGATTAATTGTTCTATTAGGATACAATTTTCTCCCTATTTTTCTATCTTCAGGGAGAAAAATCAGGTTCCCTGCTTTTCAGTTTTTACACAAGTGTACAAATAAAACACGGAGATTGTTTCTGAGGATTGTTCATTTGCAAACTCCCATCATTTTTAAGGAGTTTCCCAGAGAGGAGCCTGATCCAAGCCGTGTTGGAGTTAATGAGTCATTTCTATCTGCTGTAAAGGGATTTGGAGCTGAGCTCTGGACTCCTTACAAGCTGGAGGCTGAATTTTCATAAGAACATGCATTTTATCATCTTGCAAAATCAGGAATCATGGAATAATTTAGCCTGTAGTTGGAGAGTGCAGTTTGGTCTGATAATGATATTTTCCTCCATGTACTTTGGATTTATCAGTGGTTTGTGGCTAACACAGCCCACGTCAGCTGATTTCTCACCCTCATGTTAATAACACTGTGCTTTGGCATTGTGTTTGTGTAGAAAAACAACCCATTTTGAACCTCTCATTTGGTTATTTTTTAAAAATAGACAAAGATATTATTTACAAAAGAGCCCATTCCACAGTTTGATCATTATCAGAATAGCCTGAAATCTCACCAGCTCTATTAGAAAACTGAGAAGTCTGAGGAGTCACAGGAATTCTGGAGTCAGTGAAGGCTCAAATGCTTTTTGCCTCCTTTTCTCTCCTTTATTCCTTGCCGTGGGCTTCCCACAAAGGCTCCATTGGGAGCAGGGTCTGGAAAGGGTCAGCTCAGTGGAAGCAGGGGCTGGAACAAGGCGATGTTGTCACACCAGCTTTGCTCAACCCTTCCAACCCAACCTGGCTCTCCATGTCCTGCCATGATGCAAATGAGGCTGTTCCTGCTGGGAACGTGGCATTCCCGGGAATGTTCCCTCCTGGGAGCCAGGGCTGCAAGTCCTCCTGATTTAAGAGCTCTTATTGATGCTGCTATTCCGATTTTGCAGGCATTCACAGCCTCCCTTCTCAGCCTTTCCCTTATTTCTGTGGGGAAAGAAGTGAAATAGGAAGGCTCCCAGCTAGACGAGTTTGTAGGAATAATTGGAGCGTGGGCTTGTAAAAGGAACCTCCTTCAGGTCACTTTTTGCTTTAAAAGTGCAACTCTTCTTTAAATTCCACCCACCCCCCCCAAAAAAAAATCAAAACAAAACAAAACAAAACAAAACAAAACAAAAAAAACCCCAAAAAAACCAAACCAAAAATACCCCTACAAAAACCCCACCAACTACCAGAAAACCAAAACCAAACAACCAAACAAAAATACCCCACAGAATTAGTAGTGCAGTTATTTGCAGATAATGACATTTAAGAGGCCAGAAGTCTTCTAGGATTTTCCAGTCTGGACAGATGGGGGTACAGAGGGGGTCTCATCCCCTTGGGCCAGGGCAGCCGGCACTGCAGGACTCCTCTCCCCGATCCATGGCACAAAACATTCCAAGTTATATGAATCCCCCCAAAAAAATTTAAGACTCAAGCTTGCCTGGGAGGAGTGAAAAGCTGGATTCTACTTAATTTCTGTTCTTTCTGCGCAGGAGAAATTCACAGAGCCCAGTGCAAAGAGTGCAAAAGAGCCCAGAAGTGCCAGGGGCAAAATGCGATGGATTATTTCCAATACCACTGACTTCCCAATCGGCTCCCACCCCTGGACAGAAATCTTGGCTGCCTCAGGGATGCAGTTTGCAACCTCTCTGCTCCAACACTTGTAAATAAAGGCCTTTTTATCTCTGGGGTTTCATGTTCAGAAGAAAGTTATCTGTGGCCATAAAAAACACATCTGTCGCTCTGCTGAGGGCAGAGCAGCCAAGGGTTCAGCGTGGCATGGAAATGCTTCCAGCAGGCTTGGAGCCACAGCTATGCCCTCTTTCTTCCCCTTTTTCCATACACTTGATCCTGACCCAGGCAGTTGCTGCTCTTTCTGGAGGATGGCAACTCAGAAAATTCCAAATATCTGATTTTTTTTTTTGGTCTTAAAACAACTGTCCTCACATGGGCAGAAAGATTTTTGTTACAATATCTGCCCAAACCCTTAAACTCACAGAAACTGCCCTCAGCACTGGTGCTGTTACCACAGCTCCAGCACCCCTGGAGAGGATGAAGCTCCTTATCCTGAGCCCTGCCTGAGCACAGCTCTGTCTGCAGCAGGGGCAGGACAGGGATGGGATGGGGCAGATAAATGAGCTTGTCATAGGTTGGGGAGCAGCTGCAAAACCCAATGTGCCAAACTCAGCAGAGAGGCAGCTGCCCTTCCCTAGCCCCAGTGAAGTCTCTTCCTCCTGCCAGTTTGCTGAAAGGATTTCCATTGTGTGGTACTTAGCACATCTGGGAATTTATTGCGAGCTGATGCTTTCTGTTTTCTGTCCCAGTGACACCGACAGAAGATGCGGAAGGACAATCCGTGCCAGATCTCTGCTCCACGCTGCATCCAAATGTGGTAAAACCCTGGAAAGCTCTGACGTAGGAGAGCCCTGCTTGTCCTGGTCTGATCCTGAATGACACTGACACCCACTGACTTCTCCCTGGAACAGATGCTGCTTAGGAAAAACACCCAGATCTGGATAAACTATAGGGGAAAAAAAATGTTTATTTCCGAAACACAGCCTTTAAATACAGGGCACTGGCATGTGTGGTAGGGATGGAACACAACATTGACCAAATCCCTCATGTCCTGGCTTTAATACCCTACTGGATATGGAGAAAGGGAAAGAATAAAGACTTCCCAGGCAGGAATAAAGCTCAAATCTCAGCTTCTCAAACTCCATAAAGGAGCAAGGAGGCATGGTGCATGGCAGAGAGAACTTCCCTGGTAATATCCACATGTCCCTGCCCTTTCCACCCAGCAGTTGCCCCAGGAAATGGCTGATGGCTGGGTTGTGTTATGGCAGAAAATAGGGATTTTTCAGCTGGACAATGAGCTGTGGCCACGGGGCATCTGCATCCCAACGCCTTTCCCTGCCCTTTACCTCAGCTGGCCTTTGCAATAGGCTGCAGTGAAATCATGTTCCCAATGGCAGGAACTCAAAATAACTCATGGTGTGCCCCAAACTGTGAGCAAAGAGGATGTGATCCTGGCCAAACAGATCTGCTTGCTTCAGAGGGGGCAATATCTACACAGTAATCAACATCTAATTCCCTTTTCCAGCCCGAATATTCCCTTGTGTGCTCAGCCACATTTTCTGCTCATCCAGAAAATCTGCTGGGTGAACATGAGGATGTGAGGAATGCCTGGATCCCAGGGGTCATCCCAGGAGCTACAAGCCCTCACAACCCAGAACCAAGGTTTTTCTCCTGGCTCATTTCATTCATGATCATCAAACTTGGACAGGGCGACTGAAAATTCAGATTTCTGTGCTTTCCACACTTTCTAAATTAAACTTTTCTCCCATGTAAGTGAGCAAAGAAACACCCTTCTTGCCTCACAGATGGGGAAACAGGAACAAAGAACCAAATTGCAATTTAGAACCTCAAAGTGCAATTTAGAACTCCCAGGAGACACAAGATCTCTCTCTTGCCAACCACCCCTTTGCTGTCTTCAACAGCTCAGAATGACCAGCTGGGCAGAATGAAATTCCTTCCATTCTCAGATACTGCGATAAAATTTTAATAAATAATCAAATTAAACCCGGATGTTGCTTGTATTTATTTTTTTCCCCCCTTAGGTCAACATCTGTAGCTTCTCGTGCTGTTATTTGTGAAACAGCTTTATTAATCTATTACGAAAGCAGGCATTTGTTATGCAGCAAATTGAAGTTTCACAGTCAATGGATGTTTTGTGGCCTGGGAAAAAGTAAACATCAACTGGAAAAGTCACTTGTGCCTATTCTTGTTTTTGCCCAATAAGAATTAATATCAGATGTGTAAATGCTGGAATTCCTTGAAGGAAATGCATCTCCTTTGTTAAGGGACTGTTAGCTGGAAGCTCCAGAGCCTCAGATGATGTAACAGCCAGACGTCTGCAGACTTTTAGAACAATTGTCATTTATTTCCAGGAATAAGAGGAAATTTCTTTCTACTTCTCTTCCCACATCACTCATCCTAGCAGGGAAAGATGCTTTCCAAGGCATTTCAGCAGTCACTAATGGCATAGTTCTGTATGGGTCACTCCACTTGACAGATGGATTAGGATCCAGTGTCAAACTGCGGAAAAACTGAGAAGAAATCTTCATTTGAGGATGGAGACAGACTGATGAGTCCACCCTGCTGATAATACTAAACTATTCAGGGGCTAAAGATGAAAGGTGACTGTGATGAGATGCCAAAAATCCATCTGGAAGTCCACGGCTGAGTGAGAAAACACCAGGTGAAATTCAGGACAGATAAATGTCAAGTGATGTACACGGGGGAGGAGAGTGCTGGAAACGCTCTAAAGTAACCCTGACTCTTACACTGTAATCATTGAGGAGAGAGGGACCTCTGAGGGTGATTTTCCTGGGAAATAGCTTGGACTTGTGGCTCTCAGGAAGCCAAGTGAATATTAGAAACTATTAAGAAATGCAGAAGATGATAGATTGATAGATAGATAGATAGATAGATAGATAGATAGATAGATAGATTAGTTAGATAGATAGATATAGATATATAGATATAGATATATATAGATATAGATATAGATATAGATATAGATATAGATGATATAGATATAGATAGATATAGATATAGATATAGATATAGATATAGATATAGATATAGATATAGATATAGATATAGATATAGATATAGATATAGATGATATAGATAGATATAAATATAGATATAGAGATAGATACAGATAGATGATAGATAGAAAGGAAAGGTGTTATTTTATAAACTTTGGTGCCATCTCCACCTGGAATACCTGAAATCTCCCAGCTCCTAAAGGAACTAGTCAAGCTGGGACACAGAGGATGGTGGCAAGGATAGCCAAAGATTTAGTCCTCAGTGTAAGAGCAATTAAATGGACTCTGTTTCTTCAGGCAGAAGAGAGATGAGTGAGAGGATCTGATGACCTTTTCAGGAATTAGGAATGACAAGGAGAGGGAACAGCAAGCAGCTGTTTGCTGTTTCTGCCTCTAACACAAAACTCATGAAATGAAGCTGGTGGCTGGCTGGTCCAACAGAGCAGGAACAATCCTCCACACCGTGCTTCGTCATCCCATGGAACTCCTTGCCACGGGATCCTGGGAGCATTAAAAGTTTACTGGATGCATTCATGAAAGAAAAACTCATCAGAGGTTTTTAAAATCCATCTGGGTTTTGTATTAAACAGAAAGGCTCCATGTCTGGTTCGGAAAGGACCTGAGCCAGAAACCACTGTAAGCTGGGCAAGTGTTTGGGGGGAAGTATTGCTGTAGGACTGACCTACATTTGTACTCTTTGCTGGGCTCTCCCTGCTGTTGCAGATAGGAGGTTATTTGGCATGGGCTTCCAGCCTGACCTGCTAAAGCTGTTCATATCTCCTTGCAAGCCCAGACTTCCAAGTGATAAGTAATTCCAGACAAATGCATTCCTTATGTTCTCTTTTAAATGTAATAATAATGTTAACTATTAAGTCAGGTGATGACAAGCCAACACAGAGCGGCCTCAGGTCTTGAGCTTCTCCCTTCCCAGTCCTTATTTCCTTTGCTCTGGGTTGAGGTGACCCAGGGCAGCCCACAGGTGCTGTAGGGACAGGTCTACATGGGGGGACATCACATCCCTCTGCCAGTATTGGCTCCAACAACATGTGCAGGGCCAGCAAGAGGCAAATGGAGACATTTAATGTGCAGCAGGGCACTGATGGGGTTGATCTGGTGACCAGGCTCACTTTACTTTGCATCTGAAAATCACAGGTCGAGGAGCAGTGCCCAAATTTCCTCTGACTGCCAAACAACTCCAGTGTGCTGGTACAGCTCTTGGAGCTCAGGGTATTGTAAGTAGAGAGGAAAGCTCAGTTAAAAACATTCCTTCTGGCTCGAAACTAGCAGAGACCTCCATAAGAGATATTCACAATCTTGTAACCAGCTCCTCCAACTCAAATTGCCTGAGCAGGAAGATTAAAACAGCTACGATGGTTTCTGGGCAAATATCTCTGTGTTTTAGTGAAGCGTTTGATAGCCCCATAAAATCCAAATTGAAAGCTTGACTCAGTCTGGCCTGGATATGAGTACTTGTCTGTGGTCTCTGCATTGGCTGGAATACCACAAACCAGGATAAAGTTTGATATGTCACATTTGAGGAGATGAAGGAGGTGCTGGTTGGAGAGGAAAGTGCGTTAAGCCTGACTTTATCTAATTTCTTCATGGATACATGGGAGGGCACAGCAGACAAAATGTGCATGGGACTTGCAGATGGGGGAAAACACTCGGGAAAAACACAGGAGATTAATTCCTGGCAAAGCTTCAATAACTCAGGATAAGTCAGCTCCAGCAGAAAGGGGATGTGACCACCACAGAGGAGAACATTTGATCTCTGCCAGTTCTAGGACATGGCAGTGGAAAACTTGTCCTTTATAGGGCTCCAGAAGGAGAGATGAAGCTGAATCAACCACGGAGATAACAGCTTTCCAAACTACCCTCATGGTGATCATCTTAATTCTTGAATGCTGCTCCACTCAGGGAACCTCAGCAAGGAATCAGCACCCCAGAGAGAATTCTGGGACAAAAAAAGGAAAGAAAAATTTAAAAAGTAATAAAAATAATGAAGAGCCAAAGGGGAATGGCTTACAAGAAAAGATTATAATACCTAAATATGGCTAAGTTGTCCAAATTATGACTAAGGGAGGATATGATAACTGTCTGCATGTATATGAGGGCTGTAAACCACTAGGAAAGGAAAGGCATTTTTTTGATTGGCATAAGAAGAAATTTCAGAGAAATCCCATTAAATTAAACAAAGGAAAACGCTGAATGAATAACGGGAATTGTTCCTAATGGTAAACTTGACCAGAATTTGCAAAATGTTTTATATAAATTGATCTGAAAAAAACATCAAGGAGATGTGAGAAAGCTGCTTGGATCCCAGTTATTAAAGATATTGGCTTCTCATGCTTCCTGCAGCAAAGCAAGGAACAAGAACAATCGAACTCAATGGAAAGGGTTTGGCTCTCTTTGTTTTCTGGTGCAGGAAACCAACGATTTCAGAAAACCCTGCCAATGGTCTCATTGCTAAAAATGCAGTGAGTGCATCCAGAAAGCTCAGTCACAAAAGAACATGGGTTTCTGAGGGCTTAGGACTGAGTCTTCTGTCTTTCCAGGTTCTCAAAATATTTCTCAGCTAACCCTGCCAGAACAAGCCCGGCCACCACCAGGTGTGATAAACGGGGGAAGAAGCATCATTTACATTCCCAGCACAAACATCAGCCCATGCAGGACAAGCTGGTCCAGGTCCAGCTTTCTTGAAGTGGTTTTTGACCAGAATACCCAGCAAGGTGCCCAAATGTGGGTGAGAATTCCCGTGTTGTCTTTGTGGTACACCCAAACCACAGGTGGAGTCCATACGACCTGGGGAAATCCACACCACCGTAAGGCCCAGCTCTCCTACTAGGAGATGTTTAGAGCTGCCAGAGGCAGTGAAATATGGAATTCCTCCCTGGCACTGGGATCCACGTTCCTTTCTCAGAACCACTTCTACCAGTGGAGGCTGAGACCTTCTGTGTCCCAGTGTGACATCAATTTGAGGTGTCCCTGGTAGATTTCCTTCAACAGGAATCATGCAGCAGATTGAATCCTAGAATCCTAGAGTCTGAGAATTATGGAATAGCTTGATTTGGAAGGGACCTTAAAGATCATCCAGTCCAAACCCAGTGCAATAAGCAGGGACAGAGCATCACAGAATGGTTTGGATTGCAAGGGACCATAAAGATCACTTTGTGCCAGCCCCACTGCAGTGGGCAAGGCCACCTTCCACTATCCCAGGTTGCTCCAAGCCCCATCCAACCTGGCATCTTCAGCTGGATCCAACCCTGGATGTTTCCATGGGTGGAGTGAGGAGAGGTCTTTGATAAAGCTGTTGTGCCAAGATTTGGGTTTGGCCATGAAAAGGTGAAAGCGGCTTTTAACGCTGACACGTTGGATTAAAAAAAAATAGCAGGTGAGCAGCTGAGAGCTCAGATCTCCTGCAGGCACCTGGACATTTCCTTGCTAATCTTGCAAGACGAAAGTTTTACTTTGAAAACCTTGAGTTTCTCAGACCTATTTTGATTCTGGAATAATTTCTTTGCTCTTAGATGAGCTGATTCTCCAAAGAACTTGAAGACCGAGAACGTCCACTGAAGTTGCAGCAGGGAAGGAGGAAGAAATCCTCACCTTTCTGAATCTTTGCACAGTTTGTGTCACTTCATCGTCACCCTACAGAGGCTGTGCTCGTAAATCAGGTCTCTGTCAAATCCCTGGATTGCTGCTAATCAAATCCACGGAGGTGCCTGGCATCAGTTCAATAATATGGATTGTATCAAGACTCAGGATTTTCATATTTCAAAGGCTGTTATGATTTTTAAAATCCCAAACAGGGCCGTATTTATGCACAGCCCCTTGCTGTGAGCTACATTATCCACTTAGACTCACATTACAAAAATAAGCTGTAAACACTTTTGATGAAAGGGTTGGACACTTCGTTTACACCCTGAGAATGGACTTTTGTTTTAATGCCCAATTTCACTTTGGTAT